GTCCTTCAAAAATTTAGCTAAGCGGATCAAACTGTCGATTGAAAAAAAAAACGTGCTGCTACGCACGGAGAGGCGCGGTTTTAGTTAAAAATACTTCCATTTAGCACGAAATCTCAATTTCTGAAGTATTCAGTGAAAATAGCGAGAGTCAGAGTGATATCTACAGCGGAGTTGTGCGAAAGCGAGCAAATTCAAGTCCATGTCTCGGCTGCAAGTGCGGTCGAAGCGCTCTCGTCACATTAACAACGATACTATCAAGACGTGGTTTTAGATCGAGGCAGCTTTTCTGAAGTGCACGGAATCTGACATCGCCGTTCATGCTGGCGCAATCATTGTCGACCGATATCCCGAGTTGGTCGACTTAGCGGCGGACTAAAGTCCGTTTGACTAAAGTCAAACATCACGGCTTTAAGAGAAAGCCACTTGCGTCGCGTAAAGCTGCTTACAGTTCTTCATGGAAATTAAACGTTTTTTTATTCAAGTCAACTCTCTGTTTGATGAGACTTTAATTATGTCAAGATAAAAAGACGAATTGTACTATAATGAAGCCCTGCAGACGAAATGCTACGCAAATTTAATCGAATGCAAATATTTAATGCCAACGCAAAGAGGAACAAGCGTACAATAACCGCAAATCCGACGATTCGTTTGGCAGGATTCACAATATATATGCGCGCCTTAACATGTTCTCTTCTCTTTTGCTCCGGTAGCTCTTTTTCGTTCTTGCTTTCCTTCTCTCTTTTCGCTATCCGAATTCACATCTTCTTCGTCCTTTCCGCCCGCGAACGGAAAAAGGTGCAGGAGGGCGGGACGGGGAGATGCAAGCGAGCCGAGAAAATTGGAAATTGCTGCGAAATTGCACCGGCACGTTGCATGCCGGGTAACCAAGATTATCTTCGCCGCGTTATCACTGCGCCGCGAGGAAGGAAGGCAGAGGAGAGGGGGGGGGGCCGGAAGATGGGGGAGTCAATAACGGCGAGCGGACATAAAATACCGAGGTGTGGAATGCGCGAACGAATGCATGCGCTGTTACTTATTGTATTGTGTTATTTTGCAATGCAGTATAGATGGAAAATGCAGACTGCGATAGGAACTCGCTTCTGGATGCGAGCTATGTGTGTGTATGTTTTGTGTATCTATAGCCGCGTTACTCTTTTCGAACAAACACATTCACCGAACAGATTATAAATGCGAATCTATTGATTATCAATACGAATCTATTGATGCGAGAATATGACAGAACAGTGAACGGATTGTTGAATTACAGTTATTATTATATAATCATATCCATATAATTTCTATGCATTATGATTAAATCGCGGAAAGAAAGATGAGATAACACTGCGCTCCTAATGCCAACAGGCGCATTAATTTCATAATTGCAGCGATGCGTGGCGCGGTGTCCACAAATCATCGCATCTGTTGCTGTGGCTTTCGGGGATGCGTGTTCCTCGATGCAAGCACACGGGACAGGCGGTAGCGATTGGGCGGATTCTCCGGGCGGTATACGGGCAAATTAGATCGTGACGTCGGCTGTGTAACAAATTGATGAGCGGAAAATCAAATGGGATTTATGGTCTTGCGATCGGTTGGCGGGCCGACATGGCGCGCCGCACCGGCGATCACACAGAGTAACATTTTAGGAAGCGTCTAGGAATTTCTGTGCGATTTCTAACATAAATGAATTTTATCAAGTTCAGAGAAACGAAAGCATGTAATGAAAAGTAAATATTACTGTACCATGCAATTATTTTCTAAATATCGCATAAGATTTAAATTTTTGAATTTCATAAATTTTGCCTTAAAAACATATAAAATAAAATAAAGTAAAATGGATCAAAATAATAAAACAAAATGACTTGTATCCAGTTATATAACGTATAAAATTTTTGCCAGATTTACAGTAAAATATAAATTATTGTAAAATGCGCAAGTATCGTCGACAACACAAAAACAAAAAAGCATCTCTACGAAATACTAAAAAATAACGGACGAAAACAGTACCAGAAAACATCGTTTTTTTCGGAAGTACTCTCAGCGCATTTAAAAGTCCATAACGTGTCGTAAAACCACGCGACGATTCTAACGAATCCATTGAATCTCACACCGCGGAACGAAACATCGGCGCGGATACACAGAAAATGCATCTGGATGCATCTAAACAGAAAAAAATATGCCGTTGTATACAGGAAAAAAAAAACAGAAAATCTACTCGATCGTACCGCGCAACGATAATAAACAGCGAAAAATCGTGATCAGTCGATTGAGGCATCGACTCGGTATTTTTTTTACTCAAGTAACTATGTAATATAGAAGCTCGTTCTTTCAAGAAAAGCTTGAAAACCCAGAATAATAAATAATTTTTGAAATAAATTAAATATGTATATATAAATACCGTCAGAATTAGAACTTCTATATAAAGCAGTCCTTCTTCAGTTGTTTAGATTTAGTTGAATTTTTGTTATTTTTACATATACATCTACATTTGGGAATTTTATTTCTGGACTCACTTTATTTTACCATTTTGACAGTTTGTTTATTCGTTTACTACGACACAAATATGTCAAAATTAATAAAATTCGAATTTACTCGTTTCTGCATCTCGGAGTTATCAAGTGATCGAGTCAGCCGGCCGACGGGATGAAATATGGTAGTCGTTGCTCGCGCCACACCCAGTTTATCATATTTCTTGGAGTGCATTATCATAATAGCATCGTGCATGAGATCGGTCGTCGTGTCGTTCCGCGCCGATGACATGTCACGTCCCGTACTCGCGCGGCGGAGATCGATGCGACCGACCGATCGACCGACCGATGCGCGTCGCGTCGCGACGCCTTCTCGGCGGGACTTTTGAGTGCAATCGTCTATATTTAACTCTTAACCATATCAGTGATAGTTTTTTAAGGGCGCCAAAGCGCGGACTTTTTATTGAGACAGTTCGAGTTTTTGCCTTGCTGTTATACACTTACGCATACAGTGAGCTAAAATACGCGTTATCTTAACAACGCACATCGTCAAAGATGAATAGCAGCGATGACGATCGTCAAATTTGAATAATAATTGTCATATGTATTTGTCATACACACGAAGAGCTTTTAGAAGTTGATTTCTCTCTACCATTTGGATTATATTATAAAATATAAATTTAACCGATATCTAATTGATCCTACAATAAACAATAAAAATAACAAAAATTTTGGACGCGCAAAGAGACATCGCTAGAATTTAATAATTTAACCTCGCATTACTCGCTGCACAACTCATGAATAAATGTCGAAGTAGTTAAAACGATCGTTTTCAAGTAATCTTTTCGTATAATTACAGACTAATACTTTGCCCTGTTCTTGTAAAGTGTGGTTTATCTGAAACAGTTATCTTGCATATTATGTAAGATAAACGTTATGAATATTAAAATCATGTTACAACTTCGACTCTACTACAATATTACGTCACGTTATGAGAAACCTCAACAACACGTATGCGCATACTAATGGCACTAATATTTAAGGGTTTGCTGCATAATGAGGATATGCTAAATGTGAGGTTTCTTTACCATTCTTGTTACATTAGGGCTCTTGTAAAGCTACTGTAGACATCTAAACTCTTTGCTAAAGAGTATTTACGAACAACTTTTGCAACAACTCGAATGCGCGTGAAGACAAGATATGATTAAAACAGAACATTATTTAATCCATCAATAATAAATTCTCCACTCATACAGAAAATAAAAATAAAATTAAAAATTTGCTAAAATAAAATATATACTGGAAATTATTGTATTAACTCTTATACGCACTGTATGTTCTAATTTAAAATGCACATATTCATGGAATGCATATGACTTCGTGCATAAAAAGGTTATTTTATTTGCTTCTTTATTTCTTTAATTATCATTTATTATTAGACCATATTAAATCGCATTAAGTGTTCGCATAATTTTTCCATTTAACGCACGCTAATTTATTGATTTTTTTAATGTAAAAATGCAAAATTAAAAATCTGATTGCAAAAATTCTGAACTCTCTAATAAAAATTACACAAATTTCTTGTATCATTTTATAAAATATCAATTAACGAAACAAGAAATGTGGCGCCATATCGAAATGCTGCATAAGGATTAAATGCCCAGCATATGTTGAGTGGATTTGCAGTGACGAAAGAACAGATAGGAGAGAAAAAGTCAATCTCTTTCTCTCTCAGAGCGCAGCGATATAAGAAAGATACACGAGAGCGATAGAGGTGATGCAGGTGGGGATTTAATCAACTTTCCTTTTTGTCTCGTAAATCTTCGTAGACGCGGCATCTTTGCCCGTGCGAATTGCCCTCTCGATTTTTTTTTATCGGATGCTCGCAGATGACACGGCAATGCATGTTTTTTTTAAATCTGCAGCTAACATTTCTTTTCTTTTTTCTTTTTACTATTTTGATCCTCCCACAACACAATCACCATCATAATTTGTAATTTATTCGTTTCTAGTAAAATATTATATTTTACCAGTAGTTATAAATATTACCTGCACTTTGCATAATGAGGAGAATACGAATGGCAAATTTCACTAAATTATATTGAGGGGTGACGAAGAAGAAACATATGGTTTTACCTGAAGCTTAAATAGTAATAAACGTGCAACTTAAAGTGGAACATTTAATATTGAACAAGAGCAATTTCTACTTTGCTATAAGAATTTGTGAAAACTATGGAATATAATTATTTTAAATACAAAAAATTATATGAACATTTCACTTATAAGAGATATCTTGCGATGATATAATCTTTTAAAATAATATAACTTATCTAATCTTTTAAGCACTACATACTTGTACTGCATATAACATATAATATAACGCGCGCGAAATGTAAACTTGAGCTCAATTTCTTGTTTTAAGCCGACATTCGTTTAAAACCGAAATTTTCGAAATATACCAATACAATATAATTTGTCGATTAATATAATCAGTGAATATTATTATTAAACTTGAAAATGTTTATTTGTTTTCAGCGACAAGTCCAGCAGTAGACATCGAGCCAAAAATGGAAACGGTCGTACGGATCGACCAAGAATTGAAGGTCCTGTGCAAGACCGAAAGACCGCTTCGCGTTTGTCGTGTGGAGATGCCTAACATGAATACTGCCATAGTGTTAAGTCAGGGAGATGTGGAAGGAGATATCGAGTATCACGGTGACGGTTGGCACGCCGGCCAATGTGGGATCCGTATCAAGAAGGTGCAAAGAAAACACAATGGCATTTTCAAGTGTTTCCTGACGACTGATAACGTTCGACATGAAGCAAATGCAACTCTAAACATCATCGTTGCAGGTGAGTCATTATTTTTTTGTCTCGTTTCGACGAGATTCCGACTAAATAAAATTAGCGAATTATAGACTTGACACATGGAGTTTTTATAAGTCACATTCTTCAAGTTACATTTTTATCGATGAAAAGATGTCTATGTGCCAAAATTTAATATACTATAAGAAGTTGTAAATATTATAGATATTTATTTATTTCTATCTATTTTTCTTTATACTTTCTTCAGATCTGAATTACATTAAATCTACAAATTTTGTGTATAATATGTAGATTGTTTTCACATTTTAATTTGAATATAATATAAGTATTTTCAATCTAATTAGCATGTGGGCATTTAGATCCATAGCATTTAAAAGTGAGTATAATGAAAATATTATTATACAGCATGTAGTAATAAAAGTAAGATATATATATATATAATCTTTTTTTTATAAAAAAGAAAGAGTATAAAAAGGGAACATCAATTAAAGCAAGAAGCAAAAAACTGATGCTTGCTGCAATCGCTAGAGCTGTATATTCGAAAAGTAATTAATCTTCCTTAAGGAAATTGCTTACTGACTTGGAGACTGAAATAAGCACTCAGAGCGAAATTACCGTTTAAGATGAACTCAATAAAGATAAATGATGAGAATCATGAATATCTTAAAAGAATCTGCTGTTATTTTAACGCCAGAAAATAGCACGGCGAGGAAAGATTCAAGTCATCTTCTTTGGCTAAGATTTTAAATGACGATATGATAAAAATACCTAATAAAACAAATGGGAAAAATGCTAATTATTCTGTATTGTTCCTATACTGATACATAAAGCAATAAGAAAGATTTAAATATTTTTTTTATTTTTCATGCAGAAGCACCAACGGCGAACGATGTTGCACTCCTCTTGAGTAGGAGTAATACTCGAGGCACTCAAGGCTACTACAGGAAGGAGGACAATCTGGAAATCAGTTGCAAAGCTTCGAAGGGACGACCAGCGGCAAATGTTTCTTTATATCTCGGTTAGTATTTTTATTATTTAATTTTTAGAAAAGCGTAAATTAATAACATAAGAACATAAAAATAGATAAAGACTGCTTCTTGAGTCTTAAATATTTGTAGAATGAAATAAACTTTATTAAGCTATAGTCGATAATAAAAAAATGAGATTGTTGTTTTTAATATTTAGATGACGAGCTAATAAATAGCGACAGAACCACAGTCTTCAACGATAGTGGCGACTATATCTCGATGCGAAACGCTTCACGCATATTAGATTGGACGGATCATAACAAGAAGATAAGATGCGTAGTCAGTCACACAGGCCTTGAGGATCCTCTCGTTAAAGAACGGACACTTTCGGTAGAATGTAAGTTACTCACAATTCTCACAATTCAAAGCAGTTTTTCGCTTATTAATGCATAACATTATTCAAATTTTCAGAAATTTAATTTAATTTTTTAATTCTTTATTCTGTATCGTATTTATTTTTTATTCCATTTTTACTTAAAAATTTGAATTTTTTTAAACTAAAAATTCAATTTCAATTAAATAAATATTGTGTCTATATTTAATAAAAGAATAACAGCTTGTTCAAATTTTCAATCAAGTTTTTATATATATGTCAATCTGTTGAAATCAAATTAATTAAATATAAAAAGTGCGATATTTTATATAAAAATTATGATTGCAGATATTGTTTTTGATATAAACATTGGTAGATTTAAAAAAAATGTTTTTTTCTGCTTAGATGCACCTCTGGCGCATAAATCCTTTGAACGCTTCGGATACGTAATTGGCAGACAAGGAATCATCAATGTTACTGTTTTTGCGAATCCTATGCCTAAATTCACGTGGAATATAAACGGCGAAACTATTGAAGTAGGAACATATGATAAGACTCAGCGATTTCAAACTTCAAGCCCCGTTGAATTAGTAAGTTTTTTGCTCAAATTAAATTTCATCAAAATACGACTTAGTTTTTAAATATATTAAATTTACGATATAATTATTAGTAGTAATAATTAATAAAAATGTCAATAACTTTGTATTTAGTTTAAAATAATTTTGTATAAATTACTAAGCTCCTAATTTCACGCTGAAAGAAAAGATTTCTAAATTTATTAAACAAAACATTACTCCTGTAGTTTATCGGTTATTCTGTTAAAGCGATGTTGTTGTCGAATATACGCGTCGCAACGAGGGAAAAAGTATATTTGGCAACTCGATTCGTATGTAGAGTAGAACATGTTAAAGCCGGTGGTTCGTTTAGACTCGAGCTTCAGTGACAGATAAAACGGGTAAACGAAAGAAACGTGTGGGCCAAGAAATAATTGGCGATGAAAGGGAAGAGCAAGCGGATTGGAAGCAAATGAAATAGAAATTCAATATTGCACTGCAACTCGGCGGTGGGCCTCGATTTACTGTTCGCCCGATGCATTCTCCATACACCTGTGTGACAGCGTGCGCGGAGCGCAGTGCCATAATGAAATTCCATTGAATTCAGACGCGGCGCGAATCGATCGGTCGACGCGCGATCGCATGGAGGCCCTCGAGCGGCGGAGGCGTTTGTTTCTGACCCATTGTCTCGCTTAACAAGAAGCGGTTTGTTTGTTCCGTAGTTAAGGTTTAAATGGATTTGCCGATCTTGCAACTTGCGCTTTTTAATTAGTTCAGAACGGCGAACAGAAGTAAACGACGACGTTCGTCCTCCTGAATACCTCGCGTTCTTGTTACTCCGAATGCATTTATTAAATCAGTCTGAAGGAAGAAAAAAAAATAGAAGTTTAAAAAACTTCGTGAAACTTGACGTTCTTTGAATGCTACTTAAAATTTGTTAAATTTGTTCCCAACAAAAAAAAAGTCATGTTGTGAAGTAGAAGCGAATGGCGAAGATGTTCCACTTGTATTTCTTTCTATTTTCTTTATCTTGTTTTGAAATTAAATATTCACTTAAAATTGAAAATTTTATCGTTGCTTATCGCGTGCCAGCTGTTCGGTACATCGCAACGCAAGGTCGCAAAGTTAGCGAACTTCCGGGCAAATAGCGAGATTACGATCTCGATCGCGAGTGAGAGAAGCGTCGAAGCGTTAATCGAGCGGCACGCGCCCGGCAAACCGACCGAGTGCATTCAATGACGCGAGCTATTCTCCGATCAGGAGAGAGAGAGAG